GGGGTGGGTGCGGGTCGGTAGTGGCCACGGAACTTCTAATCCGTCATCCGTCGGTCGAATTGACGAATTGGAGAAAATCAATCCGCATCTGTCCACCAATTTGGCAAATGTGGATTGAGCAAAATGACAAATTGACGAATGTGTGCGAATCAGTTTGACGGTTTAAAATTTTATAAATTTTCAATGTGCAAGTAGTGGTTTGCTCAAGTAGTGGTTTGTGTTTTTTAGAAAATGAAAACAGAAAAGAAAAACAACCAAATAGCTGACTTCTACTTCATTTATCCTTTAGTTTTCATTTCCTCCACAGATTTAAAATCCAAACATAGCCTAAAAGGATAATATACTCTATTGCTTGTGATTATCCATTGGTAGTTTAAGAATGCATGGAACTATAGTAGCTGCAATTACACTTAGAAATCAGATTTCTAGGTTGAAGCATGTTTTCTAATTGGTAAAAAAAATACTTCACTTATTTGAAGCATCTTTTACTGGAAAATAGCAGTCATGCTGCTCCAATTATAAACTAGTACATTATAATTTTATAATCCTAAAAAAACTGTATTCTTATAAAAATTTTAATCTACTGACCAGAGACTGTTTACCTAAATTAGGATTCACTTCAATCAATGATTCAAGTTGCAAAATCACATATCATAGGCATAAATTTTTTACTTCATCAGCCAAGAACCAACCAAATCTTTACCATCCCCAGAAAATCCAAGAACCAACCAAATCTTTTAAATGACCTAGATTTTGTTGGGTATAAGGTATACCCTTATATCAATTTATCAGTTTCCATAGTTCAATACAATCATGATTGCACATTTACTTTTTTTCACTTCTGGATGGAAAGTAATCTAATATTTTTTCTATGAAGTCCCTTACAAAATCCATTGTAGAGAACAAGAAAAAAAAACCAAAACTTACAAAATTTGTCCTATGTAAGCTTCCTCTCTCTGTGTGTGTAGAATCCTCACACTTTGAATCTCACCACCTCTCTAGTTTTCGAATTGGAACAAAAAAAAAAATAGAACATATTAGAGATTGAGGAGAAGAAGCGAAGAAGAGGAAAGAAGAAGAGAAAAAGAGAAGAAGAGAAGAGAATATCTCACCACCATGATTGCTGATCGCCTTGTCGCTCGCTGTTCAATGGAGAAGATTGCCGTTGCCGTTGAACGATGGGTAGGGTTTTGGGGCGGGGGGAGAGAGAGAGAGAGAGAGAATGGGTGTGTGTGTCGAAGAATGGGTTAGAGTTAAACTAAGATCACCACCTCTCTAGTTTTCGAATTGGAACAAAAAAAAAAAAATAGAACATATTAGAGATTGAGGAGAAGAAGAGAAGAAGAGGAAAGAAGAAGAGAAAAAGAGAAGAAGAGAAGAGAATATCTCACCACCACGATCGTTGATCGCCTTGTCGCTCGCTGTTCAATGGAGAAGATCGCCGTTGCCGTCGAACGATGGGTAGGGTTTTGGGGCGGGGGGAGAGAGAGAGAGAGAGAGAATGGGTGTGTGTGTCGAAGAATGGGTTAGAGTTAAACTAAGATACCGGGCCCGCATTCACCCGCCACGTGTCACGCATCCACCCAAAAAAAGTAGTTGGCCGGGTCGGGTCTAACGGATTTGGAGGGTCGGTGGATCCGCTGCACAACCCTAACTTCTCCTTAATCCCACACTGATTTCTTAATAAAAATCTCCACATATTTTGAGCCCATCCAAGAAGTTAGTTATTTTAGTTGATCTTTTAATTTTTTTTGGTTATTTTAGGCCTTGTTTGGGAGTATGTTGTTTTAGTAATTTTTTTACTTTTTACGAAAAAATGTACGGAAAAGTAGAAAGAGTGATATGACAACTTATAATGACTTTTTGACTAAAATATGTAGTTGACAAACAAGACCTTAGTGTGACCTAAAAAGTTGTGTTTTGAAAGTTAGTTGATTTATTTATTTATTTTTATAGTTGATTTGATAGTTGTGAGGAAAAAAATGAAATGATTATGATTTAAATATGATATTTTATTTTATTAACTATTTTAACATATTTTATTTTTATTGATTATTTTAATCAAAAAAATCATCAAACTCACTTCCCAAACAGCCTCAACCCTTCTTAGCATTAGGCAAGGGCAATGAAATCATAAACATATTTTTTTCTTTAAGTTGTGGTTTTAATTAAGGAAAAGTTATTACAAATTCAGAAGAAAAAAAATATAATTATAATTATAATTTTGATTAATATTATTATTTTTAATAACGGGATATCATGATCTAGGACCACTTAGTTCAAAGAAATTTATTAGAGTTAGTAAGTATTGAATTTGATACCTAAGTCCGGAATCACTAGTCCAAAGAAACTTATTAAGATTAATAAGTATTGAATTTAAGATTTGGAGGGAGCACACGAGGTTTCAAGATGTGGCCACTTAGCCATCCCTTAATTACATTACACTTAAATACCAATTTTATCCCTTATTTTTGTTAATTTAAGAAAAACAAAACAAATACTACATATTTTTTTTCTAAGTCTCTCTCTGTCTCAGCAGCCTAGGTCCCTCGAAATAAAAGAAACCCTAATCTTGGTTTCGCTAATCCCCTGCAATGCGGTAGTCTCTAAGAATACTACCATGACTGCTAGTCTTCATCTTCGCCGCCCATGGCCACCATCACGAAACCAACTGCAAACCTAGCTTCGTCGCTCTCCAATGATGTCGCTTCCAGCCCACATCGTGTTTACCTTCCATCTCACACTAACGCTGTGTTTGTTTGGGAGATTTAAAAAGGAAAAGAGAAAAAAGAAGTGAAATGTGAATAAAATATACTTATATTTCACTTAGTTTCACCCATCTTTTAACCTTCTTCTTTTCAAATTTCCCAACCAAACTCAGTCTAACGAGCATCAAACACGGAAGCCATGGAATCATCAACTTTTGTTGAGAAACTCTCGTCGTCTCGGCGCTTAGAGAGTGAATTCTCGACATCATCACTAGTCGGATCAATAATACTTGGTTGAAGGATTGATTTGGAACTCTGCAAAACACAGCCGCAATCTCGGTCAATCTCTGATTTCGCTATACCATCAACGGATCGTTTGTTCTGTGAAAAGGAATTTTTATGTTGTTGTTGGGTTTGTTTTTAAATCTCATCTCTTGTAGCTCAAATTCTTGACTCTTGACTTTTGGATTTGATGGTTTGGGGGATTGAATGAAGATGAGATGGTGGTGGATCGATCGGTGCCTGTGGTCGTGGAGGGTAAGTTAAGTTGGTCAAAAAGGGGTAAGAGATTTATTTTATTACATCTAAGGGTATTTTTGCCTTCTTATGTATCAATTTAACAGATTTATGTAATGTTTGGTTTAGTTTTTAAATTAATATTTAGATCAAAAAAATCAAAAAATATGTTTGATTAATAAATTTTTAAAATTATTTTTTCTCTCTTTTCTCTTGTTGGTTTTTTTTTTTTTTTTTGGTTATTAATATATAAATTAATTATTTTTTCTCCCTTCTCTCTTTTTTTTTTTTTCACATTCTACACATGAATCTATTAAATTTTTTCTTATACCCATTTATTTAATTATAAAAAAGTTCAAATAATTTTAAAATTTATTACCAAATAAATTTTTAATTTTTAAAATTCTTTTTAATAACTTATTTTTTAAAATTCAATTCAAATTCTTTTCAAAAACTAAATCAGAAGAAAGCCAAAAGGGAAAAATTATTTGGTGACCTAGGCCACCACGAGACCATGCCTGATCAATGCCAATCATGCCATGTAAAATCATAGGTTCTATCAATCACAATACACTTGCACACCACATGCCTTTACTCGAGACAACCAAATAATGCTGTCCCAGGAATAATTGTAATTTTTAGGGGTGAGTATGGTCCGGATTGGACCGAATTAGGATAAAACCAGAACCAATCCGTTATTTACGGTTCTTGAAAAATTAGAACCAATCCAATCCATTTAAATCGTGGAACCAATCCGAACCAATCTATTTAAACACGGATTGGATCGGTTTAAGACCACGAATTCATATAATTAAATAATAAAATATATATAAAACACTTTAATTTCATGAAAATATAAATATAGTACAATATTAGTTCCACAATAGTAACATATCTTTCTACAATAGCGATATATTGTTTTAGAATGTAAACAACCATAAGAAAACTGGTTCCACCATAAGTATTTAGATTATTACAAATCAAAACTAAAAACTAACAAACAAAAGTAATAAAAGAAAATATTATGTGGGTTTAGGTTTGTGTTTAGGTTATATATGGAATAAGCGATGATACTATGCGGGAGGGTGTATAATAAAAATATAGACTACTTGTATACAGTTCGGATCGGTTCCAATCCAGAACCATGGGGTTCAATCCGGAACCAATCCGTAGACTACGGATTTTTAATTCTTCAATCCGGAACCGAACCACGGATTCAAAAAATCAGTCCAAACCTATCGGATTAGACTGGACTGGATCGGATTACGGATTTTACGGATTGCTTACTCAGCCCTAGTAATTTTGATATTATGCAGGGAGGTGTAGTTTTAAAAATATTTGGCCTATTTTGCGAAGATAGTAAAAAATTATTTTTGATTTTTAACTTATTTTGAATTATATCATCTCTCTAATCTTTTATATATTTTTAAAAAAAAAATTAAAAATCCAGAAGTTTACAAAAACACCTTTATATGCATAAACTTTGGTTGTCAGTCCCGTGAGAGCACCTGACATAGCACTCAATTGGTTATGACTCAATTTTGCTTACATACGCTTTTGATATAAATTTGGGTAAGGCTTTTTTATTTTTTGGTCTTTTTGCGGGTACAAATTGTTTGAGGTATGGCATTATTGATTTGTGTATTGCATACATGTGTTTTTGTTTTTGCTTTTCCAATTGTTGAAAGTGTCTTTGGAATATCTGATGAGTGATGGGTGATGAATGCAGGTAAGAATTCATTCATATGGGTTGGGCCTGTGCCCAGGGTGAACATAATGGAGCCAGAGCTAATTAAAGAGATTTTGAGTAAGAATGATGTTTTTAAAAAGGTAAAACCAAACTCACTTGCCAGGCTTCTCATTGGAGGCATTGCTGTCTATGAGGATGAGCAATGGGCCAAGCATAGAAAGATTCTCAACCCTGCTTTCCATATGGAGAAGTTAAAGGTCAAATATACTCTTCATCCTCTTTAACTTTCAGTTAAATTTTATTTTTAACAATTAAGTTCTACAATTTTAGTTCATGTCGGCTTCATCACCTTACAATTTAAAATTTGAATGAAAGTTAAAATATGAATGATCAAAATAAATTTTCAATAAAAGTTTGTGGGTGAATTTTTTTATTTTTTTTTCCTTTAATGCCTCTAAAAGGTGCTCACTTGACCCTCATGTAAGCACTATCCATACAAATTTGTAATTGTGAGCAATTCGAGCTTAGCTTCAGTTTGGGTTGGACTTAAGCAGACAAGGTCAGATAACTCTCAGTATATCTTGAGTTGGGTCTCAATAACTCCTCAACCCAACCAAACTTGCTCTGCCCGAACTACAACTCCAATTGGGCAGTTCTTTCTTTAGATTGACAAATGAAGAACTCAATTTCATGGCAGTAAGGATTGAAAACAGTTGGATTTGTATTCTTTCATGTTTCTTGCAGAAAATGTTGCCTGCAATGTATCTGTGTTGTAGCCAGATGACACTGCTGGAAAATTCACTTTTAGCGGCGTTTAAAAAACGCCGCTAAAAGTATTAAAAACGTCATTAATTTTTTTTGTGGCGTTTAGTACCAAACGTCGAGGACGCGGCCGTCGCTATAACTTTATGGCGTTTAAAAAACGTCGTTAAACGCCGTTAAATCCTATATTTCCTGTAGTGTGATGAGCAAATGGGAAATGTTGCTCTTAGAAAAGAGTTCATGTGATCTAGATGTGCAGCCTTATCTTGACAATCTGACAGGTGATGTGATTCCTCGAACAGCATTTGGGAGTAGCTATGAAGAAGGTAGAACTTTATTCGAACTTCAAAAAGAACAAGCTGAGCTTACTCGCCAAATTGTGCAATCAGTTTACATTCCAGGATGGAGGTAAATCTAAGATAAAAAGTGACTTGTGCTTTACTAGTTTTCCAGTTTGTGTGTACAAGGTATTAATTTAGTTACTTGGCATTCAAGCCAATTCCCTTGTAAGTTGAAAGTAGGTATGATTTCCATATATGAGAAAAAGATACTTATCAATTGGATCAAGTTGAGACAAAATTATGAATTCACAAATTGAAATTACAGGAATCAAAATGACATCACTGTCAAAATATAGAGGTCTATTAGTGTAATTTTCCAAAATGCGAACCATAATGTCTTTCTTTCTGTATTTTGGCCTTTTCTATGATTGTTCATTAAGTTGCAGATTTCTACCTATAAAAGATAAATAAGAGAATGAAAGAAATCAACAATGAACTAGTAGCCATCATGAGTGAAATGATCAACAAAAGAGAAAGATCCATGAAGTTGGGAGTAGCCGGCCAAGACGATGACCTGTTGAGTCTGCTATTGACATCAAATATGAGAGAAATACAAGAACATGGAAACAACAAAGACATGGGAATGAGTTTTGAAGAGGTGATTGAAGATTGCAAGGCATTTTATTTTGCTGGGCAAGAGAGCACCTCCAATTTCCTACTGTGGACTATGGTTTTGTTGAGCATTCACCCAGAGTGGCAAGTCCGTGCAAGAGAAGAGGTTTGGAAAGCTTTCCGAAACAACAAACCAGACTTCGATGGGTTAAACCACCTTAAAATTGTAAGTTCTCGATATAAATACAAACAAATTGTAAGTTTTCAACACGTCTTGTAATTTTGTAGAATTTTGTCATCCTCAGGTAACAATGATTATGAACGAGGTTCTAAGGTTGTACCCTCTAGCAGCCACTGTCATCCGAACCATACACAAAGACACAAAACTAGGAAACATGACTCTGCTACCGGGAATCGAGTTACTGCTGCCAATAATCCTCGTTCACGGTGACCATGATATTTGGGGTAAAGATGCAACAAGGTTCAAACCTGAGAGATTTTCACAAGGCATAGCAAATGGGACAAAGAATCAACAAGTCTCATATTTGCCATTTAGTTGGGGTCCCAGAATATGCATTGGGAACAACTTTGCACTAATTGAGGCTAAACTCGCTTTAGTTATGATTCTTCAACGCTTCTCATTTAAGCTTTCTCCATCTTACACGCATGCCCCTACCTATGCAGTGAACCTCCAACCCCAGTATGGAGCTCACTTGACTTTGTCCAAATTTTAATTTGTGTCTCACTTCATAAATAAGTTCTGCAGTTAATTTTTTTTTAATAACATATCAATGACCTATGTGTCTAGAAAAATATTTCAAAAAAATGTTCATTCTGAACATATTTTTTTGATTTTTTTTTCTTGTGTATTATGTTATGCTACTAATAACATATTGGGTGTGTTTGTGCATGACAATCCAAGGGTTTATGACCTTTTGTGATTTTGTTTAAGAACTCTATAAGAACGTATATTAATGACATGAAAGTTGGCATAGGAATGCCCAACGATTAAAGGTTTGAACGGGTTTAGTAATTTTTTTTAACAGTTTTTATTTTTTTGAGCACCTTAACATGTCTTTTATTTTGAAGTAATATTAGAGACTCCAAAAATTCTACCAAAAGTTTTACCAAATGTCTTACATGGGTGTGAGACCCACACAATGTCGATCCCACGTGAATCCCACACCCATGTGAGATATTTGGTACAACTTTTGATAAAAATTTTTAAACCTCTAGTATTTTTGTTTATTTTATGATTGTGCTACAAAAAATTACTCAAAATTTTATCCAGCATTGAAATATGTGAATAAAATTCATTATGCATAACTAACATCAAACTTCAAATTTAAACACTATACTTTCATGGTAAAATTTTTTGTTTACTTTTCATGGTATATAAAATTATTGTTTATTTCATAGTGAAAAATCCAATATACTGAGAATTTGTACTCCCAAAATGAATATGATGTAGTTTTTTGAAAAAACTTTTTTGAGTATGTAACTTTGTTGTTTTAATTATAGAATAGTAACAAGACTAAATTCACAATTGGGTGAAAATTTTGTATAATTGTCCAGTTTTTATGTTTCAAGTCTATAATGAACAAACACCTTTATCTAAATTAAATTGTACTATGGCAAACAAATAACAATTTTAAAAGATGAGTAATGTTAGGAATCTCAAATATTTTATCAATATTTTTATTAAATGTTTCGCATAAGTGTGGGACTTACATGGGATCTACATAGTGTGCGTCCAATACTCATGTGAGATATTCATCTCTATCACTCCATCTATCCCTCTTTCTTTTTTTTTTTCAAATTGCAAAACAAAGTTTTATTGATGAAAGAGGCATAACACATGCATAATTACATCAACAAAACAGGGGAGTACAAAAAGTATCATAGCTAAACTTAACAATCCCAACAAGGTTGGCACCGCAAAGAAAGCGTAATCATATGCTAGCACTCAACCCAAAATTGGATTGGAGAGGAACCAATCAAAGATATCCAAAGAGGATAGAACAACTACACTAACACAACAGCTAAAAGCTAAAGACAACTAGACAAACACAACAATAACAATCAGCACTAGCAAAAGGCCTGTGCATAACTCTGCTGCCTAGAACTTCATACAAACCAACAACCAGTGCAAAACCAGCAAACAAACCAACAACCAAAACTTTATCAATTAGTAGTAGACCAGAGAGTAATGAGACCAGTGTAGACATCAGCAGGCACAACACCTCACAACTAACTACAGCTCCCAAGTACAATTACGAATGAAGACAATGCCTTACACCTGAAATGTTAAAGAGGAGATCATTGATGGAGAAGTTAAATTCCTTGGAAGAGGCCTTTAACCAAATTGCAAGCCTTGTGATTATGAGCTCTTGCAATACCTGAATCTTTGGTTGGGAGGCTTGAAAGAGACACTCATTTTTGAGCTTTCAAATGGACCAAAAAGTGACCAGTGGTATGGCACGCCAAATTCTCCTCTCCTTTTTCCTATAGGTGTACCCTGTCCACCATTGCAGCAGACCCTCGACAGAACCAAGAACCACCCAAAGAGACCCCAACCACTGTAGCAGCCTAGTCCAAACCCTCCACACCATAGGGCAATGAATTAGCACATGATGAATTGTTTCCTGTTGTGCTTTGCAAAAGAAATATGAGGTAGAAGTAGACCTATCCAGCACACCAATCCGTTGCAAGAACACAGATGTTTTAACCTTGTATTTCCATGCGAGCCAACCAAAAAATTGCACTTTGGGTTGTGAGTGTTTAAGCCAAACCAAACTACTAGAACTAACAGTGTTTCCAAAGCCAAGATTAGTGTGGTTGTATAAAGTGGATACAAGGGACTGTCCAGGTTTTGATGCTAACCAAACTGCATTGTCTTGTACATCCAGATTCAGAGAAAGTGCTGCTGCTAAGGTGCCAAGAAGTTTGAGAAGCTCCTCATTTTCCCATTCAAAGAGAGGCCTCCTAAAGGTGAGAAACCAATTGTCAACTGAGACAGCCACAAAATCTTTAAGTGATCCCTCCTTATCATTGGACAATTGAAATAGCCTAAGGAACGCATCTTTGAGGCAAAAAGCTCCACACCAGTGATCATACCAAAACTTGATTCTACAACCATTCCCAACTTTTAATTATAGGTTACTAACGTAGTACAGTAAGAGAGACTCTTGCTGATCAACTGCTACTATAATGCCATCCCAAATTTTAGAGAAATTGTTGCTTGAGCTGAGATTTGGAAGCCATACCCTTCCTTGAAAATTGTATTTACTCTATATGACCCTATTTTATAAGGAATCATGGTCAGAAGCAAACCTCCACCACCACTTGAGGAGTAAACACACATTTACATCCCAAATTCTTTTAATACCCAACCTACTTTGTTTTATGCTCTTTGTTACCTCTAACCATTTCACAAGATGGATTTTCCTCTTTAGATCTGAGCCACCCCATAAGAATGAAGCTTGAATTTTGTCTATTTCCTTAGCTATTCCTTCAGGTAACCTGAACAGAGACAAGTAATGCACTAGCAAGCTTGACAACACTGCTTTCACCAAGGTCAATCTACCTGCAAAAGAGAAAAACCTCATTTTCCAACCAGCAAGCCTCAATTTAAATTTCTCTATAACTGGCTTCCACATCCTCTTTCTCCTTGGATTAGCACCCAGAGGCAATCCTAGGTACTTAAGTGGTAAACTTAGAGTCTTGCAATTCCGTAGGGATACAAACTCCTCAAGAGCAGAGTCAGAGAAACCAACCCCACAAACCATACTCTTATGGTAGTTGATTTTGAGCCTTGATGCTACTTCAAAACACCTAAGGATCCTTTTCAGACTAAGAACTTCTGATAGTTCAGCTTCACAGAATAGAAAAGAGTCATCTGCAAATGGAAGATGGGAGAGTTGAACTTGATTGTTCCCAATAATTACCCCTTTTAGCAGACTCAACTCCCTAGCTCTCTGAAGAAAAATGTTTAGTGCTTCTACAACCAAGTTAAAGAGGAATGGGGATAAGGGATCTCCTTGCCTAAGGCCTTTCTGAGGGTTAAACTCCTTGGTTGGTGAACCATTAACAAGTATTGAAATTCTTGCAGTAGAGACACATTCCTTAATCCAGGAAATCCATTTGGAGCCAAACCTAAAGTTTGCTAACATTAAGAATGGGAAATCTCAATTGATAGAGTCAAATGCCTTTTTCTTAGATTTATACTAGCCATCCACAACTTCATTCACAACCAACACTTCATCTAGCATATTCCTTTCTCCCAGGAAAGCTAATTGTGAGTCGCCAATTACTATGTGCATGACTTTTTTAAGTTTGGATGCAAGGACTTCAGAGAGAATTTTGTACACGGAACCTACTAGGCTTATAGAACTAAACTCATTTAGAGTAACAGCTTTCTCCTTCTTTGGAATCAGAGTAATGAAAGTACTATTCAAACCTGAGACTAATCTACCACTGATATGGAAATCCTTCATAAAGTTAAGCACATCCTCCTTAAGCACCTTTCAATATTTTTGAAAAAAATATTAGGTTGAATCCATTTGGCCCAGGAGCTTTGTTCTCATTGGAATCTATTACTGCTGCCTAGATTTCTTTTTCAGTGAACTCTATTTCAAGAATATGAAAGAATTCACTAAGTCTTACACTCTTGAAATCCCCAACAAGTACTGGTCGATTATTTCAATCTTCAGAGAAGTGGTTTGAAAAATGTTTCCACACTTCATTTTTAACTTGATCTGGCTCCTCAAATACAACATCCCCCACTGTGATAGAGTTGAGAGTGTTCCTATTTTGCCTACTGGTAGCCATGACATGAAAGAGTCTTATGTTTTTATCTCCTTTCATATTCCAATCTAGCCTAGATTTTTGAAGCCATTCCCATTCCAACTTCCTACTCAACAACCACATTTCATTTCTTTTCTCTCTTTGCAGCTTCAATTCTTCCTCCTTCAAAGGTCTAAATTCAGCTTTCACATCATATTGATGAAGCTCGTATTCAGTATCTTGTAATTTGGATAAAACATTACCATATACCTCTCTACTCCATTTTTTTAGAGCCAACTTGAAAGTGTGCAATTTTCTTTGTAGAATGAAACCAGTTGACCTTGAGAAATGTAAATCCCTCCAAGTTTGCTCCACAAAAGTTGCAAGGTTCAAGTGTAACATCGAAGCATTCAAGAACTTAAAGGGTTTAGGCCCTCAATCCCTAGCATCCTCCATAAGCACTAGGGCAGTGATCTGATGCAATTCTAAGGAGTCCCCGCAGGTTGAACTTAAATCTTTCCAGCCATTCAAGGCTTAAAAGAAACCTATCTATTCTACTCCATATTTATTTCCATCAAAGGCATTGCACCAGGTGTATTTTTTGCCTAGCATTTGCAGATCTACTACCTCACATCTATCTATGAAATCGTTGAACTCTTTCATGCCCCTATCCCTTAGTAATACACCTACTTTTTTTCCCTATATTCCTGATCTCATTGAAATCACCTCCAAGACACCAAGGTTTGGGGAAACAAGCTTTCAGATTTAATAGAGGATCCCATAATTTCCTTCTCCTTATGATGTCATTAAGAGCATGAATATTAACAATTACACATTCAAATGAGTTGTAAAGCTTACCTAATAGGAGAATAAAATTTATGTTGCTACAACACTCTGTGAGCTCAAAGATTTCAGGGTCCCAGATACAGAGTAAACCACCTGCCAACCCTTTAGCATCCACATTCATGAACTCAAGCCTATTCCTAGGCCGGACACTTTTCACTACCAAGCTGGTTATGCTTGATTTTTTTGTTTCTTGGAACATAGCCATGTCAATTTTCCTTTCTAGCAACAATTTCTTAATCTTGTTCCTCTTTTCATGCCTTCCTAATCCTCTGATGTTCCAACTTAGAGTCTTTATATGAACAGATATGTCCCTAGTCTCTCCCAGTTGGAACTGGTTATTCCACAATACCCTTTCCTCTTTCCAATCTCTCCTTATCCTTCTCCTTCATGTGTGCTAATTCCCTGATAACCTCAGTTTCCTGCCCTTTGAAGACTAAACCCAATCTTTGCTCCAATTGCAGTGTTGATTGAGCCTCTTAAAGAGACCTATGACCAGGAGAGGGTTGTTGTAGGTCTGGACTATGGTTTGATGTAGGTACAGCTGTGGATCTTGACCTGTAGCCTTTAGTGATTCCTTTACTTGAACCTGCACCTTTTTAGCAAATCCAGTAAACCTACCTGAAAAATCTAGAAATCCCCTAGATGTTGATTTGTGATTATGTATCAATTTTAAGCAGTATATAACAATCCCAATCAAACAATCAAGACAAATTGACACAATGATTTTACGTGAAAAAACCACAATTGGACACCTCCAATTGTGATAAAAAAAACCACAGGCAAAAGCCACAAAACAATCCACTAAAAAGACATAAAGGAATTACACAGGTATACTCTCAATTACCTAGCGAATCCACACCCGAATTGAACCAACCCCTATGTGCCTCTTCCAGCCCCGTCTTCACCTCGGAATTGTCTTGACGATGAGCCACTCCAAAATCCACCAAAGCTTCAGGCTCGAATTGTTCAAAATCCACTAAAGAACAACTCTCTCTTTTGTGTAGAACAAACAAATAATCATTTGATGTATACCCTTTAAACCATGAGTTAAATGCTCAATCAAAATATCAAAGAAAACTAGCAAAATATCCCCAGATATAAACCCTAGAACCCAAGAAGAAGATCTAGAGAAGTAATCTTAGATTTGGACTGAAACACGTATTTATAGAAAACAGTCCCGTGATCTCCGCTCGAGCGTCGAATTGGCCACTCGAGCGGACCTACGCTCGAGCGCGGAAAGTTCCGCTCGAGCAAGAAAAAACAACATCCAGTATTTTTGTAGGCGAATAAATTTTTGGAACTTAGCATTCTCCGCTCGAGCGAAGTGGCAATCTTGAAAGAACATCACAAACTGCTCTACAAAGCACGATTTGGGTTGGATTCGCATCTAACAACTCATATCCTCACTGAAATAAAAGCGCGAATAAAATTACAACACAAAGGAATTTTGTCAAACGGAATTGCCAAGAATAAAACCTAACACTACCAGCTAGTAGGGGATGTTTAAATCCATCACTTCTAATTCCTTTCCTCTTGCCTTTCTTTAAACGATGAGTAATGGAGCCTGGAATTTGTGGGTTGATAGTGTCACTTATTTTGGACTGAGAGCCTACCCCTGATGATCCACAAACTAGCCTTACAGATGGAGGTTTAAGTCCAGCACTAGAAGGCCCAATAGGTTGCAGGTCAGAATGGTCGAAGGTAATGGGCTGTAGCCTAGATGGGTCATAACCAAAAGCTACCTCCAGACAGATGCCAGGCCTTTCATTAAGAGGTTGACTTAGGCTCTTTATAAAACCTGGGGAATCTGACCATGTACTATATGTGCTACTACACCTATTTGAGTTTCATGAGTGCCTCATACTCTCTGCTGCATGTTTCCCACGAACTAAACTTCTACACCTTTCTGGCATCATGATTGCACCACGACCTCTACTGTAGGCTTTCCGCTAGCAATGAGGACTTAACCACGCATGTGCCTTCTTCATTTGAATTTCCCGCACAATCTTTGGTCTCTTCCACTGCTAATGCATGACTCCAACTGCCACTTTCAGCCAGCTCAGCTCGGACCTTCATGCAAGATGCCAAATCCCCTTTAGCTACATCAGATACTGCTGCCATTTCAACTGCCTTCTCGAAGTTAGTTTCTGCAGGAAGATGGAGTACCCCATTGATGTTGGAGCAAACATCTTTGTCTGCCTCATTAGAGTTTGCTCCTTTGCAACTGGTGTTAACCTCTTTTGGGATCTGCTCCTCAAAGACTCTTATTGAGTAAACTCTTCCTTGGCACTCCAGGTTTAAGCTTGTACTTATCGGTTCCACTCTTTTTATGAGTTCATTTTTTACCTTTAGAACAGAGTAATCTATTTTGAGTCTCATAATGATGCTTTCGTATAGCCATCTATTTCCAAGCTCATCTACTTTGATAGTTGTCAAAGTTGGACATCAGGGTGTAGCTCCTTTAATGACCTCTGCAAACAACCGACCATCAGTGCGTTGATGCCAAATCTGTTTGGTTGCCATAACAGAGGCCTTTTTGGGTTCAGAATGTCTTGTTGGTAATGGTTTCTATCTGTGCCCATCGTCTATTCCTTATCATACTCTGCGATTTTGACTAACAAAGATTTGTCATTTACCCACAAACCATTGGCCTTTTATTCAGCTACATCAGCTGCAATAGAACAGTCATAGCGCACGAACCCAAATCTAGTGTTTGTTAATTTGCTTATCCTTTGTGGTATGAATACATCCTTCACCACACCAAACTTGTTGAATAGATCATACAAGTTTCTAGGTGCCATAGATTCAGGCAAGCTATCCACAAATAATGTAAACAAAGCTGCTCTTCGACTTTCAAACCGCAAGTTAGGATGCATTTGTCTACCTCTTTGCTTGACCACTGGAATCCAACCTCCCCGTCCTTGAACAGCAAAAACCATTAATTACTCTGTCTATTCCTCTTGCTCTCACATATACATATATAAGCATTCATATTCTTCTTCACGAAAAAATCCAAAGAAGTAATCCGAACATGAAAGTAAAGAATAAAAAATGAACAGAGTAAAAAAAAGAATAATTAATGGACAAACTAATTAAGACTTAAAAAATGAACAGATTAATGTCGAGGTAATATTTAATTGTTTTAATCAAAATGTTCATTTCATAAATCTATCTACGTAGCATTGTCGTAGATGGAAAATGTCTCGTAGCTCAATTTTTGCCACTTTTGAGCCACAAAAATTGAGCTACGACACATTTTCCATCTAGATATGAGTGAGACAAAAATATATTGTTATCACACGCATTATGACAGCCACCCGCGCACCAACCTAACTTGCTGTGATGACCCTTGTACCACTCAATGTCTCCATCTTTTCTTGTATTTTTTTTTAATTTTATAAAAATGACATATAAATTCACTTTCTAAATTTAATGATGTGTAAGTAAAATGATTGGTTAATAATTAAAGAAAATATGAGAAAAAGAATTAGCACATAAGAGTGATTGGTTGATTGATCATTCGGTTTGAAAGTATGTCTAATTTTTTAATTTAAATAGCATTACTCTTTTATTTATATATTTATTTATTTGATAATCAATGTCCAGTTCTGCTTATGCACCCCAATTAATTTCAAAATTTTAAAATTAACGATCAAACTAATCTCTAATACCTCCTTGAAGTTACTTGAACTTTACCGTTTAATCAATCTCTTGAGATTCTCTATCTCCTCTTATTAAAAACATAACTCCAGGCAAATTGATCTATAATTTATGGAACTGTTGACGTGGCTTCAAAAATTAAGATTGGATCCGATGAGTACGGTCCTGGCCGAGCCGAACACAGTTCAGGTCAGTGAGAAAGTCCTCAGTTTAGCAATCTGAGCATCAAAGTTGATCAATGCGTAAATTGAGTCTAAAATTCTTTGCAAAGTCTAGATTTTATTGTTTTATAATTACTATATTATTTTAAAATTTTCTTTAAATATTTTTTTTATTGAAAACAAAAACATGTCAATATAAATCTTCCGAAGCCATTGATCTTGTTATGGAGATATCCATTCCATCTATAAATTAAAGAGGATATGGATATGCTAGTTGGAAAATGATATGTATGGTGTAATATAAGACTTTACAAGGTCTAGATCACTCTCAAAATAATAATAAGAGTATTGTTATCATACTATCAACAATATGGTAATGTTATGCACCATAGGTTATAACTCATATGATATTTCGTTATGATGTATGGTGATATTAGTTATGACACATTGTAATGTTAGTTATGATATTATTTTAATTATGATTTCAAATTTTTTTGATTATACCTCATTTAGTGGTTATAACTTTTTCTCTTTTTTTTTTCTTTTACTTATAACACTCATAGAATTGAATTATGACAATTCAGATAATCAAACTCACAAATATCATAATTTGCATATGATACCCACCCTTTTCCCCACAACAATAATTGATTTTTGTCCTAAACTAATGCTGAAAGTTGATGTACTTGTGATGTATCTATCTTCTGCTCATGTCTTTTACATCAATAAGTTTTA